ATCCTACCTTTCAAATCATCAAATTGAATTTCATACAAGTTAACGAGTTTGTTATCAGTACTTGGAATTAATAGTCCGTCCAAACTTTCAGGACTCTTTCCTTCTCTTCTATTTTCCATTTGTAACGTTGCAATTCGTTCAAGAAATTGAATGACCTTTTGTACTTCCTTGGTTGATAAAATTCTATTCTCGTCCCCCTTCACCATATTATTAATAATCAAAATCAAACCGTTGACCCCGATTTCATCTTGAACTCCCATGGATTTGAACATGGACCCAAACTGAACTGCATATTCTAAAGGAAGTTCAATTAATGAGCCATTATCCTTAAATTCGTTTGGAAGTCGAGTGAAGATTTTATCAATTGTATAAAATTGATTTCCATAAAATATCCACGGTTTATGTTCTAATTCAAGTTTTATAATAAGGCGGAAATTTCTTCTATGGAAAAGTTTATTCATATACTCGTAAATCGCGTTACAAATGATTTTCAACTCATCTGGTGTCTGATGTTTTGCTAAACCGTTATAACAAATTTCCAACTGTTTTAGAACCATTTTAATATCGGGTTGCTCTAAAATTTTTAAAAATTCGTAATTACTGGCATCATAATCCAGAGTTGGTGCAATCAAACCAACTAGATTTTTATACTTTTTGCAATAACAATTTTTAAGTCTCGAAAAGATATGACGCCCAGAATTATCAATAGTAGGGATCCATTCATTTCGTAAAATAGCATACATAAATTCATAACTATTATCATTCAATTGATCCCATCTTTCGTCAAGATATTTAAATAGGTTCAACGCTTTGGTACGAATTAAATCATCATCAATTGCAGGATTTTGAACTCTTGTTACGATCGTGTTAATTCGAGAAATTATATCATTAGGAGAAAGAATTGATTTCATTCCCAAAAATTTCAAACTTGAGAAATATCTAGGGTCGCCGTATTTGCCGGTAGGAAAGACATGTTCGTCCTCAAAAAATAGACTGATTATTGCTTCATCTTCCGGATCAAATAGTTCTGTTGGGTTAGCCAACTTTATGTTTGAAGAAATAAGTTTTTGCTGTGACATTTCAAGTGTACCAACAGGTATGAAAGAAGTCTCTCCAAGGGAATCCTTCAATTCATTAAGTAGGGATGGTGATTTATCAAAAAGTAGTTTGTCAATTATAATGTCAATGTCCCTTTGTGGTTGTGACTTGAGAAACGGTATAACATAATTTTGCCAGTAGTTGTATGAATCCAATCGAGGAACTTTAATAATATCTTCCAATATATAACGCAAATTTGGTGAAGCCGAATTAAGAAATTTTCCTCTTTCACTTGGATAGATGATTTCGCCATATGAATTATTTTCACCATAAGGAAGAAGATACCAATTTTGATTTCCGATTAACGAAATTGGTGTAGCATTGCCAACTTCGGAAAAAATTGGTAAATGCTTGATAACATCGATAACATTTGACGCATCATTAGCAACAAATCGTAAATAGTTGGATAAATATTCAACGAGCATTGATATTTCACGAGGCTGTAACACACGATTTAAATTACTTGGATATGAGGTATCGGCTTGGAAAGAACCAAGAACCGATATGATATCATCAGGTTTAATGATATATGAAGATACTCTGTGAAGTGAAATGCAAGGTAGAAAAGACGATTAATTTATTTAACCAAAAGACGTTATTCAC